ACTAGCACTGCTTTCCTGATTTCTAGTCTGGCGCATTTTTCAAAAGGTTAATGGTGACACTGTCTCAATTCATAAACATCAGTATTGGCTTTTATCTAGAATGAAGGATGGAAACTGGAAACGATATAGTTCAACTTGCATGGAGTGTGTGTACCATAGCTAAACTATCTTTTCCTACTCTTATCTCTCAAAAGGAGAATATTCTATGAAAGTTAAATTTTCCTATCACTCAATGGGTAGTACTTCATCTAAAAACCTGCACATTAACTGGGGACTGGAGCCCAAATGCCCAAGTACAACTCTGGAGTTATGTGCTACCAAACTACAGCAGAAATCTAGAACAGAGCTGCAAAGGCTCTAAATATCTCTAACTCAGTGTAAATCAGCCTCACAAAATGTAGAATCTGGAGCTGGAATAAATTATGCTGACTTCATCAAACTTTCCATAATTGTATGGAACCTCATTACTGCCTAATCTTGAAAGCTCTTTATAAGCAATTAGTTTGAGTCTCTGGCAATAGAAATGAATAGAGGTAGGGGAGGGCAAAAAAAAAAAAGGTGTCAGAAAAAGTAGAACAAATTTTGTATGCCTCAGGTTCCATCCTAAAAGCTCAAGTTCCATCCATCACTGACATGGCATCTTACAAATTAGTTCCAAGGAAATGCCCTTCCTTCCTTCCTTCTCTACGTGAAATCCATGTCTAGAAACTCCATTTTCTTTTAAATATGCTGATTCTGAGCAGGATCAATTCTGCTTCTAAATATAATGCTCCACACCTTTAGTGTGCAATTGAAGAATATACACAAGGGAATAACAAGGCCCCACTATCTTTTTCAGCTTGAAATCTTCAATTATTTGAGTCAGAGCTGATTCCAGAAGCTGACAAGCTGACCCAAAATTATGGCTTGATGTTAAAAAAAAAAACTGAACCATTTCACCCACTCTATTCTACAGCATTTACCTCACTGAGACATTTTTCTTCTTGAAAAAAATGGGAATCTAGAGCCTGGGACCAAATGAGTTTGTGCTGCTGTATCTTGATTGAAATCCAAAGGCTAAGCATACCCATTTCATACAAGAAAATAAAAATCATCATTGCTGCCATTGGTTAATTCAGGGCTATAAACTGACCATCTCCATGAAGCCCCATTCTGCCCTGCAAATTCTGATGATCTGCAGTACGCGGCCTCTGCCTCTCCTCAAGGTGATTTTATATAGTAAAGAAGAATTGTTTACTATAAACAGCAATGCAACAAAATTCAACTGGGCAGTAGGCTGTCTGCTCACTTTTTGTATGCTCCTGTTGCTTTCGGCTGATGATGTAATAGTCTCAACCACTGTGTTTCACTAGGACATTTGGCAAGTCCATTGAAAGAAAAACACGGAGGCCACAATGGTAGCAGGGTGGAGGCAGATCAGGCCCTATGGGAAACAGGGGGACTGGAAGTGAAGAGGGACTTACTCGGCTAGAATTCTGCTACTATAGCACAAGAGGCAAAATGAGCATGAGGTTCACATCCACAGATTTATCTCAAAGTTGAGGGAAAAAATAATCTTTTAGACAAAACAATGCAACATATTTACATGATTCCTTAAGTGCACACACTTGTCCCACTGGGTTCAGCCATTCATCCAAGGTGCTTTCTTCATTCTCAAGGAAACCAAGGGAACTGTGGAGTGGGATAAGGACAGGGACTCTTGACTCAGCAGCATGCCCTTCCTGCTCCCTTAGATGAGATGCCATCTAGAAAAACCCTGCTACCGCACGACGAGACAGGAGACACAGAGCTTGGAGGGCCCAATACAGTCATCATGGCAGAAGGCCCCGCAGCCCTTGCACACAATCATGGCTTTCAAGCGACAGTAGCACTTGGAGGGCAAGTCCTCCAAGCCGCCATCTTCTGCAAAAGCCTGGCCACGCAGAGATTGCCCATGGCTACCAGTATTTGATGAGTGGCTAGCAGGGATAGCTGTTACAGTTACAGAGAAGGACACTACATCCCCCATGCGGCTGGGGTCCGACAGTCCAGTCAGGAGAGCATCCTGATGCATGTCTGGAGAAGTGGAAACGTTAATCGTGCCACTGTAGCCGGGTCCAATAAGTTGCGCAGGAGTAGGGTTTCCAAAGAGCTGAGAGGGTGAGGGCGAGAGCAGCAGGGGCCGCTGTGGGGTAACATTTCCTGGAGCACAAGTTTGAAGTTCCCCACTGCAAGATCTCCTTTCTCCTCTAGTTGCCTGAACCACTTGGGCATCCTGAATAAAATCTTTTGCTGAGTTGCTTTCAGCATAGTCTTGACCTGCTGGGAATAAGCAAATGTTTCCATCCTTGTGGCTTATTGCTGCCTGCTCCAGTTTTACCTTTGAAGCTGCCTGCCTTCCTCCTCCTCTTCCTGGAGCCAGAGGTTCCTCTTTAACCTTGAGATGTACTGTTGCCTGCGGAGCCACATTGCCATCTGTGTCCCCTTCATCTTCACCACTGCTAATGTTATTGCCAGGTGGATGCTTCTGTTCCTCTAATTTCTTTGGGGGCTCATCTGAACGTAGGTGGCTCTCTGGGGGCTGGGCAAGGTTTCTTCTTAGGTTCTCTGGGCAGCGCCCGTAGGTAGAAACATTCAGGAGGTAATGGCCAGACATGGCAGGCTTGAATGTCCTTCTCCCTATGAATCCCAGTGTGAAACTTTGGCTGGTGGAGCTGTTCTCTACTGGGAAATGTGGGGGGAGGAGGGGGAGACGTGGAGGGGGAGAAGCAGCAGCAGGGAGGCTCTGCGCAGGGAGTTTCTGCATGACAGTCTGGGGAATATGATCTTGGGCACTCTTGCCTAAAGTTTCCTGGCTACTGTGGAGGTCTGTAGGCTTGCTCCACAAGTCCTGCCCTGATAAAGAGGATATGGGTGGGGGATCTTGGGATTGTCCACAGCGACTAAGGTTTGGCTTCCCACCTGCTGGGAAAGTGATGTGCAGCTGTCCTTCCCCTTCCCTTGGAGGGCCAGGCCTCGAAACAATTGTGGTTGCTTTGCCTTCCTTCACAGGTTGTGCAACAGTCTTAATCTCAACTCTTGTCAGAGGCCTTGGGAGGATCTGCTCCATTGGGACTTCTTTACCTTGCAGCAGCTGAGTCACCAGAGGATTATTAGCAGGTATATTGGAGCTGGCCTTTACTGCAGAGGTACTTCCACTTGAACCTGAGGAGCTTGGGGGGACTTTCGGGCTATGGGCTACCAACAAAGTATGACGGGAAGGAGAAGGTAAAGTGGACGTGGGCAGAGTGCCACATGGGGAAGACAGGGGAGAGGGTGCCTTAAAGGGTCCAGCCAACACAGGAGATACAGAAAGCGAGGTCCTGACTTTGTCTTCTGGAACACCTGTGCTGGCAGTAGAAGCTGTTTTCGATACACTTTTGCAGTTTACAGCAGGCTCAAAACCACAGGATGTTCTTGTAACCTGGTTCAGAGCAAGAGGTTTATTTCTAAGTTTCTCCATCACGGAAGCAAGATCAGCTGTTGAGCCCAAAGAAGCTGTGACATCCTGAGTGGCAGGCACAGTCAAAATCCTGGGATTTGTACAGTTGACACTCCCTATTGCTGGTTGCGAGATCGACGCCCTCGCTGCCTCTGGGTTGCTGCTTGCAGTTCTGGATTGTGCTGGGGGAGCCGGCTGTAGTTGTGCTCTAGCAGCACTGCTTGTAGCTGCTGGTTCTGGAGCCGGGGAGTCTGCGGGGGAGAAAGGGGCTGGGCAAGAGGGGAAAAGCCTTTTTGGACTTGTCCTGCTTCCAGAGCCTGCCATGTCCAATGTAGCTCCATGAGGCCTCCCTGAGAGTGCACTGCTCTTGTCCTCTCCTTTCCCCCCTCCTGGCCCCGGGCCTGGGATGGCTTCCACAATGGAGGCAGAAGTAGCAGCAATGGCGGCTGCTGCGGCTGCTTCGGCTGCAGCAGCTGCTCGCTGGGCCCTGGCCATTCTAGCCCTGGCTTTGACGTCGGCCAAAGTCCTGGCCCCTGTTCTCCTGATGATTGGGAAGGGGGGCCTGGGAGAGACCTGGCTAGCAGACAGTAATGCTGGAGATCCTTGGATTCTGGAGACGTGGATCTGGAAAAGAGGAAAGTGCATCAATAGACTGGAAGGTAAAGCACCTCTCACTTATGTTTCTTATCTTGGAACAAAGCAAGAAACTCAAGGCAAAATGGGTCTGATGAGTTCCAAGGAAAACACTCACCATCTTGTTGGCAGACACATCAAGTTGAATACATTGAACTCTCTTATGCCCACCTATTCTTTCAAGAGGCTGCTAAACTGAATAGTAAATGCCTCCTTCTGAAAAAAGGAGATGCAGTAGCCAAATATTTAGATTACTAATTCATCAACCTTACTGCTGATAATTTCCCAGTATTGTTTGTTTGTTTGTTTGTTTGTTTGTTCACTCACTCACTCACTCACTCACTCACTCACTCACTCACTCACTCACTCACTCA